AATTAATATACATTTTTCTTGTTTCTCTTTTATAAGACAATGCTACATATTAAATAATTTTGATAAATTCTACTTGAATGTTTGACTAATTAATAAATATATATCTGTAATTTGAAGCTTTTACAAAATTTGCTAATCTTAATCAAAAGCTTTCGTTTAGTTCTGATTCACTCTGCTAAAATAATGATTTAAATTTTAACTGAACTTTTTGCAATATATTTTCATTAATTTTACTTCAGAGAATGCAATAAAGTTACTTTTTAAATGTATTTAGTTTTATTTCATAATATATAAAATTGTATAAATAATTTATCAAAATTTTTCATATGCTTGTTATACTTTTAACTTTCTACTTATAATTCTTATAATACTAATATTTCTCGATAATAATTCAAAAAAATAACTAAATAATGAATTTTTCTTTAAATTTTAATAATAATTCATTCTTGGTCATAATTAATGATATTTCCTAATTTAAATTTCCCTAGATTTTTCATCCCAAGTCATCAAATACTCTCCATCTTCACTCATCTATCCAAATATACAATTATGACCAAAATGAATAGATTATTATGTTATAAAATCACCATTTTGGTTCTTCCTTATCAAATTAACATTTAATCCATTCTTATTCACAAGCAGACATTTCGACTTTATATATTATTAAGGGAACCAGTAATTGCAATCCTTAATTCCACATTTAACATCAATTTATTTTGTCTTTGAGTACTATTTATTAGTACTATTCATCTCATAAACATGCATTTACTCTTAACGATAAGGTTGGAATGTGAATACATTATCATCGATAAAGCATAATCTTAAACCCCACTGTTCAACTGTTATCTTTTATATTACATTCCATTTTTAATCCTATGATGACTGTTCTATTATTAATATTAACTTATCATATCCACATGATATCACTCTATTCTATTTCTCATTCAAACTTAATCCATCTACTTCACTTGTATGATATGTAATAGTTTATGAACATATCCATTCATTCTGCTTTTTCCAAAATTTAATTGTATAATCATCACTTCCTGATATCATAATATCTTCATTATTGTTCAATAATAAACATTTAATGTAATCTTTATGTTCATTCAATTTCTATGAGCAGATCCATTAACTATGTTAATCCATACACCATATTATAATCTATTTATCCAAACTCCCAGATATAAATTAAGTTGATTACTTCATAAAATTTAAGGTTGTAACAGAATTTGAATGTCCACTTAAAAGTTGAATTTGTTTCAACTATTCTTATTTAAATTCAAATACTTTAATCTTACTATCACATCCAGCTAATACAATTGAATTTTCTTTATTAATAGCAATTGCAAGACAATCTTCTCTTTATTAAATTGAATTATTCTATATTAAATTATAATTAAATGGTTTAAGATTGGATTAATGATGATTATGTTATATAATTTGATTTTCTTGTTATATTACTTTATCTTATAATATAATTAGTTATTATTAAAGTTAATCTATGTTTTGTTATTTTAATTTGATTTGTTTATGAATAGTCGAATTGATTATAGGTTTGAGTTCTTGAATTAATTAATTATGTAATGGTTATATGGAAGGTATAGATATTTATACAATTGGTAGGGCCAAATTAAGATTCTTTATTGGAACAGATGGATAAGGATCAAGAAGAAGTTAATCTAGATAAGCATCAATTCTGTTGTAAGAGCACTAATCATTTAATATTATTCAATAACTTACATCTAAATCTTATTAAAAACCTTAAAGACATTCTTCTACTTTATTCTTATATTACACAACAATCTATTCACTATTCATTTATTTTATTATTAACATTTTTTATTTTCATTTCTCTATTTCTATTAAAAAATTA